GCTGCGTTGCCTCCTTGACTGAAGAAGCTGTCGATCACTGGCGTGGGCGTATCATCGGCTTCCTCCACTTGTTGCGAGTGAGCTTGGTATACCGTACTCAACTCGTTGAGGGAGTGGGCGTCGTCATCGACTTGTTGTTGGAGGCGCGTCACGATTGCAATGGAGTCCATGAGATTGATGAAGAGTTTTTGATTGTGAGTTACGACGCCGCGCTATCTTTGAATGTGTAGAGGCGTAGCTTAGCTCAAGTCGTGTAGAGTACTGTCGGGGAGCTTGTATATGCGGAATAGGTTTGTCATATTGTTTTCGATATTGTTTATAATTCATTGGCTCAGTCTTTGAGCAGTTGGTCGTTCTCATCGTCATTCACTGCGATATTCGGATTATATCCAATCCAATTGAATTTGTTTGATTTTATTCCAGATATGTACTAATATCCACTTGACATCGAAATCACTGACAAAGACCTGAGTAATTGAACACGAGGTCTAGTGCTTTAAGACGACAAGAGTGATAAAGAAGGCATCTTTGGGGGTTATCTTGGTCTTTCTGCCCCGGCCGTCGTTCCACCGCGATGACAAGGTTGTTTCGATAACGGATCAATTGGTTTCAAATTCATTAGAACTGAAGTTTGTCAAAACGCGAAGCCCTCGGGACCGCTGTCTTCAATGGCTTTGTCCATTATTGGGTGTGGATAGCCGGTTCCTTCCTCGACTTCGTCGATCTCACTACCGAACTCAGTGAGGCTCTCTTCAAGGAAGAGACGGTCGGAGGCGTTCTGAGCGTTCAGTCGCTCAAGCTAGGACGTGAAGCTGGTGCGCGCCATGGAGCAGTTTGATTTGTGTGTATTCTTAAAGCAATGGAAGTGGACACCTTGTTTGTTTGGTTGGCTGAGACACGCTTATCCCTCTATATTTGAGTATTTGCATTTATACCATGAGTAATGATCATATTGTTGATCACTTCCAATTTATCTCGATATATCCGAGGGGAATCGAACTTTATGGTAAACATTTTGTCTTACCCCCATCTGTCTATATTTGATCAATTTATTCGTCTCTTCCAGTGTATCAAAAGGTATTTCCATTATACTGGTGTTTGTGATTAGCCATAGTGTTTTTGACTCGAAGGCCTAATACAGTGCTGGCTGTTCAAGATTGGTACTCCATGAATTTAGCACGAACAGATCGATGACACCATTTAATGACGTCGCCATTAATGTCAATGAATCTACGAAGACAACAACAGGTCTACAACATTTCCTTTTGAAGCAACGAGCTCATACAACACAAAGCAGATATTTGCTCGAAAATGTGTACTTTTTTGTTGGCCAAGCAAGTTTGGTACAGTGCACAATTTGGTAGTTCAAAGACACAAAATTGAAACAACATAACCAAAATCCATACTAATATTTAGTATATTACCCCTTGCCTTGAATGACGGCGATGCAACGGGATTTCATGGATGCCAACAACTTGAGAAGCAGATCATGGTCCAAGGACGCCCACTGACGTAACCTTTCGCATTTTAGATCTTCAACACGCTCGAATTGCCGCCCATTCGCATTCACTTTCGGACCAAAAATCCCCAAATGTTTTCAATGGGGTTGAGGTCTGGTGAGAGGGCAGGCCAGGGCAACAATGGGACACCGAGGTCAGCCAAGAAGGCCTTGGTCTCGCGGCTGGTGTGTATGCTAGCGTTATCTTGTTGAAAAACGAATCCATCCGGATGGAATTCGTGCACGAAGGGCATGAGGTAGTTGGAGATTGTGTCGTAATACGTAAAGGAATCTTGCCGGCCCTCCAGCACAGCAACCTCAGTCTTTCCTTGACTTGAAATGCCGGCCTAAATTATGACACTTTCTCCACCATTTTGGCGGCTCATTCGCGTTTGCTCCTCCCTACGTATATCATGCCAATTATACTGGAGTCCATATGGACCGTCCAGATTGAACTTTTTCTCGACGTGGCTCTTTGCCGACTCGAGCCTTGCATGCTTGTGAGTTGCGTTAAGTCGTGGGGCGGCCTTGCGTTTCCTGTACTTGAGAAAGGAGGTTTTTGACAAAATTCGACGGACAGGTCGTGCCGATACGTTCAGTTCGAGACCATGCTGTAGCCGCGCGGAACTTGAATCGCCTTGGGACGCCGAACGGAGAACACACGCTCAATTTGGTATTCCTTCCGCCTCGCAAGGCGATGCCGTAGAGTTCAGGATCCTTATGACAGCCAACTCTTTGACAATCTTGCGAAGGGACCACCCGGCCTTCCGAAACGCCAAGATCGATCCACGATCTTTGGCAGAGAGTAGCTGGCCTTGAGGCGTCTAAAATGGTCACAGAAGTGTTAGTTATGTGTTATATGAGGTAAGCATTGTTGTACGATGTATGCAGAGCCACTAAAATTGTCGAATGGTTGGTGTACCAAACTTGGATTACCAAGTTTTTGACCATCCAATACCTTATTTTACAGGTTTCTCGACTAATATTGGCCACTTTTGAACTCTGAAACCACCAATGTATTCAGCGCTTTGATTGGTGCAAGTTGGTCCAATCCTTATTACAATTGGACAAAATTCGTCAAACTTATGAAGGATTAATAGAGCTTGGGAGCAGTAGAATACTATATGAGCAGCAACACAAGTATATTGGAAATAACTCTTTGTACTTACAGTACAATTGATCACTTGGTACCAGATCGAGGTACTGATCAATGACAGCATCTCTGACTTGATGTAATATCACAATTTCTATGACCAATAGAAACAGTCAGTCATACAGTACCAAGTTCTCCATCGGTGTTCCTGACAATTTTCCATATATATCATACTAAAATATGGCACAGTCTCGCCTTGGTTGAAGGCACTTCGAGACACTACAAGCTCGCAAAACTCATTCCAAGGCCATATCTAATGATATTGAGGATGAACCTATGAGGTTGCACCGATATAGCTGCTGTTGTCGTGGCGATCTTACACGCCATTTGCCTGTGTTCTTCTGACCTGGTGGCATAGTAGAACGTGATTTTTGACGTTATATGCACGTTTTGCCGTCGACAAATTGAAAACGTTGTAATTCGCCTTGATGAGTTTGTTTTAGTGTAGACGTAGGGCGAAAAATCGGTATCGAAAAGTACTATA